ATGTATTTTAAATACTTAGCGACCAAATATTATCCTGAGAATCTGAATTAAATTCAAAAAGTTATTTATTGATAACGGTCTAAAAATGTCTACATTTTGAAAACTACAAGTATAAATTCATCAAAACTTTCAAGTGGCCCATACTCCAGAAAAGGCATCTATGAATTAGCTCTAACTCGACTATGTTCGAGAAGGAATATTGAATGCACTAATTTCATTATCTCTAGCTCTAAATATACAATGTTCATGAATCCAAATTTGTCTGCTAAATAATACCCGACTTTACTAACATATATGTTTAGTAATCCATTAACCTATTTGTGAGAATAGAGAGCAGAGAGAGTACAGAGGATGAGAGTAAGCTAACAAAATCTCCACTATCTTAATATTGTTCCTCATCGCCCCTTATTTTATAGGATTTTAGAGGCCTAGAAGTAAGGCTATATATAAAAATAAAAATAAAAGTATATGCTGCACACAATGCCCATACAATGTTACATGTTAATCTATGACACATGTCCCCTCATAATTGATTCTAAAAGGGTAAAGTCAACGTTCATGTGAGATGTCTCTCATCAGGTGAGCTCATGAGATGTTCGTAGGCGTAGGGCGAGTTTGTGGATGAGTTTTGAGAGGAGGTGGGTTGGTAGCTGGCGAGTCATCTCATCAGGTCGCCGAGTGGCATAGGTCGGTCAATGAGTGTGGAACCCTTGTGGTAGGCGCTTGCTTATAGATGAGTTGGCAAGCTCGGGGGATGAGGACCTGATTAAGATGAGTGGCAATCCGTTTGTTTTGTGAGGAACTTCCTGGTCGTGCAATAGAGGACGAGCTCTTTGGTTGATGTGAGCGATTAGCACCCGGCGTTCTCTTGGGAAAGTTCCTATGTTGGTCCTGAACGAGTCATTTGAGGGATTTGCTCCCGAGAGGGAACACCTTCGTCACGATGCGTCCGCTACCTAATAAAACCCATAAGAATAAGATTATGTGCATGATAGAGAAATACATAGACAAGTAGGAATACTTTTTTTGTTTAATATTAGGATTTTCTATATTTACATAATTATCATCTTTCTATTAGAAAATTCTTAATGAGTCCCAAATAAATATTAAACAATTTATTATAAGTATAGATCATGCATTCTATTTTATATTTATAACGGGCTACAATAAATTAAATGCATTTAAAAATAAATGGTTATAGTCCTCAATCTAAAAGTCTAATTCTTATTTTTGCTCCAATCATTTCTTTAGTAAATAAAATATTTCCTCTTAGACTTCATTTGAGATAGCTTTTTAAAGCAGCTTTTTAGTTCAAAAATTTTTGCTTCAAAATTTTTTTATACTGAAAAATTTATTTATAAAACAATAAGAAAATTGTCTAAAAAAACTTATCTCTCTCTATCTGTATCCCTTCTTCTCAACAGTGACAATTGAAGCATGAAAAGTTGAAAATCCCATATCCGTATTTCAATAAATTCAGAAACAATTCCAACTAAATCTTCAATATGATTAGACATCAAGAGATGCATATGCAATGAATTTTACTTTCACCTTCCACTATTTCCAACACTCTATCAATGTTAAAAGTCCTAACAAAATTTTAGCTCTTATTCTTGGCTTTTACCAAAGTGGAAGAGTACTCTCATACGAATGAATCTTACAGTATGATCGAACACAGTAATTAAGTTGTGAAAGCATTGAATAGATGTCAATCAGTGAGGAAGCAACTCCATGTGCTCCATACATGCAGAGCTGACGAGATAGATCGATAACTTCTTCTCAATATAGTTTAATTAATAAAAATTGGCAGATCTATCTACATGTACAACTGTACAAGCAGCTTCCTTATTTAATTTTTAACAGAGTTTTATAAGCTTCTAGAACGCAAAAGCTTCCAGAACGCATAAGTTCAGCGTACCGCGTACGCGTTACATAACAGCGCTCGCATATGCGCAAGCCTTATATGAAAATATTTTCCTGTTTCGTGGGGAGATTCGTGCACTGTTCACTGTACAGAGATTATTTTCTTCAGGGTAATAAAATTCTGGTAATATTTTTTGGAGAATTTCATTAAAGTGAACAGCAAGACTGATGAGGTAAAGGAGAAGGACAATAATGGAGAGAATTTTTTTTCACTTTCTCAATCCGTGCTGGAGCACGTTAATTAAATGTCTCTTGCTTGGAATAGCTACAGCAGCAAAGTAAAGATGGCGACTGTGAAATTTTTAAAGTTGAAGTAAAATTAGCTTTTCAGTATAATTTTTTTTAAGTCAATAAAATATAATAGCCAAATAAAAGTTGTAGTTGTTGTTTAAAATACAAATTAGTAAGAAAGTTGTTCCAAAAGTAGCCTTAGCTATTTCAGGCTTCGTTTGGGATAAAATATAAAATTTTTGTACTAAAATTTTGTTTTAAAAAATAGTAAAGAAGTAGTCCCAAATGAAGTCTTAGTTTTAAAAATAATAATTTTTCATTATAAAAATTTAAAAAACTATAAAAATAGCAAAAAAATGGAGAAATTTACATACATACCACTTCATTTCATGCTATTTATATATCTAACATCCAAAACATTAATATTACATGTCTATAATCCATATACAATTTTAATATAAAATATATCACTCATATAATTTATTTCTACCATTCATACAATCTTATTGATACATCAGACAATAATTATCTTGATCGGGCACGAATCTTGAGGCAAAAGCTAGTTGGAAACTTCAAAAATTCAATTGTTAAAGCTCCCAAACTCGATTTTCAGCGCAGCTTATATTCAAAAACTGAGTCGGTCTTCGGAATACAGAACCCAACGACACCAGTAAACCCAATCCAGCCCACTGAGTTCGAATTCAAGGGCTCAAAGCGCTGTTGAATCAAGGTTCAAACCGCAATTTAAGTTTACCAAACGGTTATCCAATTTTGACGACCTTATACTCGAATCGAACGCCTTCGACGAAGACGAATCCAACGCAAGTCATGATCGGAAATTCCGACATCAATTAAGGCTTCAATGCCCATACAAAACGGTGGCATGATCAAGGATTCGATATGGCCGCCATTTCAAAAAACTCCCCAATTCGCCCTGAATCTCAACGCCTATTACGGGCTATGTCACCTCCAGAAAAACTATAAAGTATAGCCTCAGTCTACACCAAAGTGGACTCAAGGGAAGAGAAAGAAGAGAGAGAAGGAGGAGAAGAAAGTAAGCTCCTCCTCGATTGCACCGCCGTGAGTCTCTTCTTGCCTTCGCCCGAACACTGTCGGGATCTCTGCGGATATTTGGAAGAACGCCAAAATTCTTCCAACTTCCCGGGATGTGGAATTCTTCTCATTTTAACGACAAATGTTCCTCCTGACGTCGAATACTTTCGACCCAAGTGAGACCTGGAGTTCTCCTCTGCCACCAACAAGACGTGGACTTCTACACCTAACGTCGGATCCTTCACTTCTTCGCTCAAGTTTTTCACCCGACGTCAGGACTTCTACGGTTATCGGGATTTCGCTGGAAACGCTCTACGCGAAGATGGAACTTTCTTTCCATTGTTCGGATACTCTACCTGTCGCTGTCCTTTCTGATCTTCGATCGTCAGACTACAGTCCTACCTCGTCGCCTGCCGCTACGGTCCACCTTGCTTTACGCTCCGCCAGCCGACTACAGTCCTTACACCTAGCTCCTGTCCTCCAACATCGACTATGGGTCCTCCTGAAAATATCACGTCGCCAATCCGACTATGGTCCTCTCTGACATATTCGTTGCCTAACCGATTTCTTTTAACGTTCTCTGACATATACTTGCCAAACCGACTACCGTCCTCTCTGACATACGTCGCCACCACCGATATCAGTCTTTTCCGACCTCTGTCGCCCGCCGCACTACGGTTCTTCCTGACTTACGTCGCCCGCCAACCTACAGTCTTTTCCACGATTCTCTGTTGCCCGCCAACTACGGTCCTCCAGACCAAACGAACATGTCAATCAGTGATCTAATTGTAATTTACATCATGTAAATGTACTCAAATAAGATGTATATCATAGTAAGGCCTTCTCCCTAAAGAATGGTCTCATTTGTAATCTGACTGTAATACAGTGGATCATGTCACTGGCTAAGACAACGTGGTTTTTCCCCCATTATTATCAAGGGGTTTTCCACGTAAAAATCTCGGTGTCTCATAAATGCTAGACCTCCTTCACTTATTTAGATTGCATGCCGGATATTTCGTAACAATAGCTAAGCGTAAATATGATATTTCTCTTACTTTGTCTGCGAAACCCCTGGACTGCAACACTTATAAACTAATATTCTTTTATGCCACTCTATTTTATTCTAGAGTGGTAGGCATGTAATTTATTAAATGTTTTGGCATGTTAGATTATATTAAACTATCATAAAATAAAGTGATATGTTGTAAATCTCAAAAAAAGTAAAATAATATATTAATTACTATCCTAAAATAAAAAAATGCTTGATCGAGATTATTTTTTGGTGACGTATCAATAAGAAATCGGTAAGGAAGCTTTCGCAAGTAGAACTCTAACTTAATAAATAATATATATAGTTATTTATTATTTATATATCAATAAAATATCTTATATATTAAAATATTATAAATTGGTCTGATGAAAGGATAAGATAAATGATTAAAATTACACCATAAAGGCTCAGAGGAAGATAAATTTAAAAATAAATAGTAAATAACCGTTCTCACCTATTTTTTTTAATATTTTTTGGTTCATGTCGCTGTCAACTCAGTTGTACTTTAATTACCCCTAATTCATCGCGTTGTCCAAAACAATATAAACATTACAATTAAACAAAATTAAATAACTAACAATGATTAAGATGACTAAACAACATTCATTATTAATATATCACCTTAATATTAAAAAGAAAAAAAAAACAATAAATAAATAAGCAAAGGCCACAAAGTTAAAAATATATCTACATTGCCTATAAATTCATCACACTCTCCATCCCCAACTCACACCCACACTAAAACCATGGAGTACTCTCTCCCTTCCTACCTCGACTACTCCACCACCACACTCCTCTCCTCCCTCATCATCCTCGCCGCCGCCTACCTCACTTTCCGGCAATTCCGCCACCGCCGGCCGCCAATCTTCCTCCTCGACTTCGCCTGCTTCAAGCCCCCTCAAAACTACCGCGTCCCCTACGCCGCCTTCGCCGAGCACGCCCGCTTTATCGTCGGCGAGGAAATCGCTTCTTTCCTCGTCCGAGTCCTCGAAAAATCCGGCCTTGGTGAGGAAACGGCTCTCCCCGTCGGCGCTCACTATATAGAACCATCTCCCAGGCCGACGATGAGCGGATCCCGCGACGAGGCTGAGCTGGTGATCTTCTCCGCCATCGATGATTTGCTGAAGAAGACTGGCGTTGACCCCCTCGATATTGGCGTTCTCGTCATCAACAGCAACAGCTTTTATCCTGTGCCGTCTTTGACCTCCATGGTTGTCAACCGGTATAAGCTCAGAAGCGACATTCGGAGCTACAGTCTTGCGAGCATGGGATGCAGCTCAGGGCCGATTTCCATTGGCCTTGCAAGGGATCTCTTGATTGTAAGTTTTACTGCTAAAATTAATTTATTTTTAATTTCTGTTATACTGTAGTCGTTATTTTTTCAAAATTTTAGGGCATGCTTTTTCAAATAAATTCTTAAAAATAATTTGAATTTTATTTAATTTTGGACTGTACACACATTTATTTCAAGGAGAAAAAATATATGTAATTATATACTGCTAAATAAAGTTTAATTTGATATGAATTTATTTAAGCATAGCCAGATATGCTTAAAATCCTCTCTTTTGTCGCCTTAATGTTAAGATTAGTTACATTTACACAAAGTTTCAGTAGTTATAATGAAAAGATGACTGTTTTCTTTCCCATTTAACAACAATTTTGATGGTTTTTCTGTAATATTTTATCATTATTTAAATTATATTAGAATAAATTTAAAAAATATTAGATTTATCTTAAGATTAGTATAAATATAACTGTAATATATAGTTCATTGGTTTTTTTTTTTCATGGGATTAAACTTTTTGCTTAGTTTATTATGATTTATATATTAATTTAAAAATTAGATAAATTTTAAAATTAGAAATATTTTCAAAAGATTTTAATATTTTTATTTTATTTAAATAAAGAGTTAAGACAAATTTTACATATTTATTTTAAATTACAAAATAAATTCTTATTTTGAAATATAAATTACATAAATACATATTCATTTATGACTTGGATTTAATTCGAAATATCTTAATATTTCTACATATGTAACTGTCTAATTGTGGCTTCGGAATATCGCCATCTTGTGCTCATAATAGATATTTAGCATTTTGTTTGATAAGTGATAACATTATTTATTTTTTAATAAATATATATATATATATATATATATATATATATATATCTAAGAAAAAATTAGCATACATACTAAATATTAATAAAACATTTATAGTATGCCTTTGTGTATTTATATACAATTTAGATCAGTCTGGCTGCTGATGAGAAAATTATTATGTGCGGAGGCCGGATGTATAACGTCGTAGAGAGACAACTAGAATAAATCACATCAGTAGTACGCTGCGGTACCAGAGTAGTTGTACGAGCAGTACCGAGCGAAGGGTGACATAACACATTATGATTGGCCTCTGGACCGCACAAAATAATTAATTGTTAATTAGACTGTGACCACTTCTAGACTGTTTTTTCTATGTTGATTAAAATTTAAGAATATTAATTTATTTTCTATAATAATAATAACTATAAGTAAGGCTCACTATTTTTCCAAAATCTTAATTTTTAAATAAATTCTATCTAATGAAACAAATTAATTTTTTAGTGTATTTATGTACAATTAATATCACTCAGGTGGTTAGATAGCTATCTTAATTGATTATTTTTTTTAAAATATTTATGTCAGGATATCTTGATGTAATTTATGTATAATATTTATGCAAATTTAAAGGCTTAAGTCTATAGTATGATCATTCTTAGGTATTTTTTTTTCATGTTGATGCACATTGAGCATATTAATTTATGTTTATTTTATTAGTATTTAGAATTGATTTTTAAAAAAACTTTATAATCAACTACTTAAATTTTTAATAAATATTATAAAATAAAATAATTATTAAAGAAAATAATTATGTTAGAATATTTTTTATATAATTACAGTTAAAACGGTCTTAAAAATTATTATAAATGATATATATAAAGAGTTTGTTGCATTAGGTTTTCGTTTGGGACAACTTTTTTGCTGCTTCTTAAAATAGTTTTTTTTTTAAGTTAAATTTTTTTTTATGCAAAAAAGTTTCTTTAAAAAATAACAGCAAAGTTGTCCTAAATGAAACCTAAATCTTATGGTCAACTTTGTATAATTATATATCACTTTAATTTGCTCCAATGATTAATTAGGATAAAGGGTGGGTGCAAATATAAATTGCATTTAATGGGGTATTCAATTCTAACTTTTTGTGGAAATTTTAAATGGGAGAATAGTGCAGAACATATAACGAGTGGTCCTCTCAGTCCTCACGGCAAGATTGGCTAATTGTACTTTTTTTATTTTTAAATTCTGAATTTCTTAATTCTTGTGTCTGGCTGGAATTATTATTTCATTTAAAAGAAAATAAAATAATAATATTTAGATTTTTTTCGTCTGATAAATCTATCATTTTTAAGGGATTTAAATGCATACAAAAAATCTTTTGTAAATATATATCAAAGATCTACATATATTTATTTAATATTTAAATATTTAATATATAACTTATTTAAATAGTTTTTTTCTTACACTAGATAAAAATTTTGTGCTCTAAATAGATAAATATTTTTGTCAAATATAAGCAAAAATCACTTAAATTTTAAATTATTATTTGTATATTTATATGATTTAAATTTTATTTTATAGTTCAAAAATTTGATCATACATTATTAAGAATATTTTGAACCAAAGAATTTCTCCTATTTTAACCTTATTATTTTTACCTTTTTGGATGTCTAAATCATCCAATACTATTCTGACTTATATACTTCAGACTATAACTGTTTTAATATATTTCATTTAAATTAAAAATTAAATAAAAATATAAAGAATTTCTAACCCTATGTGCTCATGCCAATTGAAAGTGGAATATATATATATATATATATATATATTAAGAGAAATTTCTTATATGATTTGCATTTTAATAGTTATTTATTTCAATTTTGCAAAAAATTATAATAATTATTTGAATAATTATTTTTTCTCTACTTGAAATTCATAATTAATTTTTCTGTACACAACCGAAACAGCACTGATACACATTTATGAACGCAGGCGAACCCAAACAAGGGCCTGGCTCTAGTAGTCTCCACCGAAATCATCACTTCCCCAAGCTGGTACCAAGGCAAGCTCCGCTCCATGCTTATTCCCAACTGCCTCTTCCGCCTCGGCGGCGCCGCCATCCTCCTCTCCGCCTCCCCTTCCCACCGCCCCCGCTCCAAATACCAACTCATACACGTCATCCGCACCCACCTCGCCTCCGACGACCGCGCCTACCGTTGCCTCTGGATGGAAGAAGACGACGCCGGACATCTCGGCATCTCCCTCTCCAAACAAGTCGTCGACGTCGCCTCCAAAGCACTCGAACTCCATTTCGCCACTCTCTGTCCTCTCGTCCTCCCCTTATCCGAAAAACTCCGCTACCTCTCCTTTCTTCTCCAACGCTCCAACAAGAAATCGGTCTCTCCCGCGCCAACTTTCGTGCCCGAATTCCGACGCGCGTTCGACCATTTCTGCTTGCACGCCGGCGGGAAGGCGGTGGTGGATGGCTTGCAGAAGGTGTTGGAGTTGAGAGACGAGGAAGTGGAAGCGACGAGAATGTCTCTGCATAGGTTTGGCAATACGTCGAGCAGTTCGGTGTGGTATGGTTTGGGGTATACGGAGGCGAAGGGGAGGGTGAGGAAAGGAGATAGGATCTGGCAACTGGGGCTTGGCGGTGGCTTCAAGTGTAACAGCGCGGTGTGGAGGTGCATTAGAGATGTGGATGCCAAGGAAGGAGGAGGGGCTTGGGCGGATTGCGTTCATAGGTATCCTGTTTGTTGCTGATTGTAAGCGAGTTTCACAACGCGATTTCTTATCGGAGTAATGCACGGTACAGTACAGTAAGTGCTGTGGGGTTAATTAATTTGGTAATTAATGAGGATTTCAAAGGGGGAGGACTGGAGGAGGAGGGCCTTGTTAGTTTTTAAATAATTATTCTTTGTGTTATCAAGGAAGAAATGTATTACTGTATTCAATTGGTAATTGGATAGGGGATCTTTAAGACTTTAATTAATGTTGTATTGGTATTATATATTTATATTGTTGTTGTTGTCTTATATCAAATAAGACTATCAGATTTTTATTTTTAAAATGTTTTATTAGTGGAATGAAGCATTCAGCAATATATTTGTATGTTTGTTTCGTTTCTATTTTTAGGTTTTGTTTGAGACAATTTTCTTACTATTTTATAAAGCTATTTTTTGTTAAAAATTTTCTTAAAAACATGAAAAAAAGACGGTCTAAAGCTGTCCCAAACGAAATCTTAATCAAGTTCAGTTGAGCCAAATTTAGCTTAATGTAAAAAAGATTTCTGATTTTTAGTTTGAAAATTATGTATTTTATGATTTATCATTTATTATTAAAATATTAATAGAAATATCATAGTCAATAATGCAATTGTTGTTTGGAATACGAGTTTAGTTTGAAAACTTAAGATTATTTGGAAATATGATTGATTTTTTATTTGAATGGAGCTTATTAAAATAAATAGAGTAAATTTTAACTTTGATTGTATTTTAAAATTATTATAAAAAAAAGGAGAATATAATTTGTTAAGCTCAATACAGTGCAGGGGTAAAAAAATGTCTGGTCGCTTCGCTCTGCTAGGGTTTTTCACCCTTCTCCGCCTTTCGCTGCGAGGATGCCTACCACCTCAAGGAAGCTTCTTCTCTCTAGTTTTCCTTGTTTTTTTTTTCTTTGTGGGTCTTTATGGCGAACTGGCTTCGCGACCGCGTTTTTTTTTGAATGGAGCTTCTCCGGCTCGATCTTTTGTTTAAGGAAGCTTTGTCTGGGGCTTCTTCGTCTTCGGTTCCTTTTCCGGATTTGCGTATTTCATCTCACCGTGGGTTACCGACGTTGTTGATTTATGAGGAAGATGTTTGTACGCTTGTTGTTCCTTTCGAATTTTCTTCGGTTGGTCGGTTTTCTGGAAAGCGGACATCTATCGATGCAATTCGAAAAATTTTCTTTAATTTGAAACTTATAGGCAAGTGTTCGGTCATGATTCTTAACCCTATGAACGTTTTGATTAAGCTCCTGAATGACTTCGATTATTATCATATCTTCTCTCACCGCTCTTATTTCGTGAATAATTGCTACATGAAAGTGGTGAAATATCCCCTAAGTTGGATGTTGAGCTTGATTAACCGATTGTTCCTATCTGGGTTTCATTTCCCCATCTTAGACCCCATCTCTTCTCTCCTAGGATTCTCTTTGGGTTGGGCTCTCTCTTTGGTCTTACGCTGAAATCGGACACAGCTACGGCTTCGGGTTCCCGTCCTTCAGTTGCTCGCATTCTCCTTGATCGAATTGGATGTCACCAAAAAGTTCCCTAATAAAATCTGGGTAGGTTCTACTAATACGGGATACGTTCAATCTATTATTTTTTATGATATTCCCCATTTCTATTTGCACTGTAACTCGTTATGCCATTTGAAGGATGATTGTTGTATTTTGCATCCTCATCTTAAAAATGTGCCTAAAACTGTGACTGCTCCATGCACGATGTCTGGAATGAATGTGATTAATGCTGGTTCTAATGATGCTCTTAAACTGTCCGCTAATTTAGTCCCCCAATATATTGAGAATGTGGCTATTTTGATGGAGAATGATGTGCCGATTTCGGGTGGTGATGTTGGTATTCCTGTCGATGTTGCTAATGTTTTGTCCCCTGATGTCTTACCTTTTGTTCCACCTATTATTGATTTGGGTTCTCTGGATCCTATTAATGCTGCTCATTTGCCTGTTAATTCGATGAATGGTTTGAATCTTGTTGATGAGGTTAGTGCTGATGTGTCCTCTGTGAAAGTTGTGGTTGGGGACCCTCGGGCTTGTAATAGTACTGATGATTATCTTGGTTGTGCTATCAATTCTGGTCCCATGTTGTCGGTGATGTCTACCCCGGGCGTCTTGGCTGGTATTTCAATGCCTCCTGTGGTTGTGGAATGCCCGAATGGGTCTGTTCCTGCTACTGATATTTTTGGTGGGGTCTGTGTGTGAGGGTTCTGCTAAGTCAATCTCTAAGTCTACTGCCCCCTCCAGTTCGTCCCCAATTATAAATATCGGTTTAGTTCATAATTCTTTTGTTGATGTGCCAGTTAATTTAATTGACCCTCAAGCCTTGGTGTATCATGTCACGACCCAACCGGACCGGAACGAATCCCATCGCGTCGAGTCGCGACGGATGAATCCAGGATCTAGCTTTGAAATTTGGTTTCAGACTTTCTTTCGAATAATTATACAGAAAACACAGAGCTACTATTAAACTTCCAATATACAAAAATTCATCCAACATTTTCTTCTTCTCAATCCTCAAAATAATCAAATACATTACAGTGCATGGCTATAAACAGAAAGAACAAAATAGAAGAACGGAATAGCCATGATCGTACAAAAATCAAAAGTACAATAATACCTAATCTCAGATCAGACACAGAACGGCTAGTCCAACACCTCCTTCCATTTCCCAGAACCTGAAAACCACGCAGATAATAAGGATGAACTAACAGCTCAGCAAAACTACACTAGTCAATCAAAATCTCCAAAAACTCTCATATCAAAATACACATGAAGGCATTAAAAACATTTGCTGTATAGAATTCAGATAATCGTACAAAAATTAGAATATCAGGCAAAGGTCAGAGATTCATACATAACAGAAATCAAACAGAATACATATATTCGTTCAGAACAAATGAAGTAATAGAGACAGAAGAATTGAATCAAATTTACGTCACAGAATTATTCAAAACAGAATTCAATCAAAGTTCAGAACAGATTTCAGAAAATATTCTAATCACATTTCATCACAGATTTCCCTGACACAGATAGAATCTCAAAGGATTCTGGCCCCTTATGCCTCCCTTCCCTGACACAGACAGAATCTGATCAAAGGATTCTGGCCCCTTATAGCTCCCTTCTGATATCATTCAAATACATCAAATCATCAAATTCAGGAAAATTGGATTACATTAGAAAAATCGTCAGCGGCATAACGGTAGTCCACAGAAATTTCGACATATCAAATCACAGTTTCAGAAAATTACCAAATTACTACAGCTAGTGTAAAACATCATTTTAAGACTTTCATTGTACTGAAGCAACATTTTTCAACATCCAGATAATTTTCTATTCGATAAAAACTGTGCATAATTCAAACTACCCGGTGAAAACTTTCCAGAAAATACTCAAAACGTGCAAAAATATCATCTCTACAACATACCAAAAGTTACACGGTAAAAGTTTTGCCGGTGCGAAGTTATACCCATATCGCTAACGGAAAACGAATTTGAAACAGAAAATTCGCCAAAAATCTCATTTGTGAAAATTGAGAAAAGCATAATGTGCATTACCTCGAGTAGATCAACTTTCCCAACTACGGCGACGGACGAAAATGGACCAAAGTAGCCCAAAATCCACTTTTTCTTCTTCTTTCTCCATTTTTCTCTCTCCTCAGCTTCCTCTCTCTTCAAAAATGACACTGTTCAGATATTTATCAAACATGATCATCCAGGACGATGCCCCGATCGTCCCGGGACGATCTCCTCTGGACACGGATCGTGTAGACGAAAATTAATTCCAATTCCTTCGTCCCTGGACGAGTTGCTCTCTGGAAAAATTTCGTACAGACGAACCTACCTTCGTCCTGGGACGAATCTCTCTGTCACCAAATTTTATAACTGATCATCCCGGACGAACTCCACTTCGTCTGGAAGAACCTGGAAGGAAAACAATGAAAACTAGCTTTCACATATCATGTGGGGGACAATTCTGTGATGGATGTACGTGTGCATCTCAATTGGCTTCAATGTTTGTTCGATTCCGATTACGTTTCTTTGGAATCTTTTGGGGATGATGATCCTGGGAATATTGTTGGCTTGCTACATGACGAAATGGTTGTTTCAGTTGCCTCTCGTGGAAGGGCTCGTGGGAGGGGAAGACGTGGTAGGTAATTTCTGTGTGAGGTGCTGGTGGTTGCCTCCCTAGTTTACTTGTTGGATGCCTTTCTGGTTGGCAGTCCCTGGTATTGTTAATTTGGCTGTTTGCATGGACCTTTTGTTTGCCTTCCTACGATGTTTCTTGCTGGTAGATACATTGTGCTTGTTTTTTGGAGCTCTCCAATTTATTTTTTCTGTTGGCCGGGCAATGATGCGGCTGGGGCTCGCTTCTATGTCGACATGGCTTGTGGCAACCTTTGGTGTAGATCTCTTGTTCGGTTGGGATGGCTGCTTCGCGTTTCTATTCACCAAATTGGATGATCTGAGCTTTGCTTAAAGGAAGCTGGAAATCTCGACCCAACTGAGCGCTCGGGATTGAATTTCCCATGTATTCTCTTTTGCTTTCCTGGCATTTTGCTTCTTTGCTCATTTACTCGATTTTTTATTTTAATATATTCTTAGTTTTGGAAAAAAAAAAAGCTCAATACAGTGTCACAAAAATGTATATATCTTTGAATGCATGTTCTTAGAATTATTAGAACAAAATTTAATAATTTAATTAGCCTAGAAATAATAAAAATATAATTAAAAATATTTTCAATAATATATTATACTTATTATGTGCTAGAAAATTTACATAAATAGAATTGATATTTTATGTTTTAGCTTTCAACAATAATTCAGCACAAATAAAAAATTGCAGATGACCAAAAAGTTCATTTTTTATAAACTCATGAATTGAAAAAAAAATTATTACTATATTTTCTTATTTTATTAGAAAGAATATTCTCGTTTTGTTTTAAATAGTTGATCATATGTTTTTAAAATAATAAGGTATATAATTATGCATTATTAAGTTGTTATTTTGTGATAATCCTTGAAAAAAAAATAAAACAAAGCATTAATATTTCATAATTAGCAAGAGTGAAATTAAAGGGGAATTTTGATTTATTTGTCAGGAGTTTTTGGCTTTTTGCTATTAATTAAGACCATAGTTTGGGATTTTTTTTACCAATACATTTTCATCACTTCCAAGAAAAATTTTGTTATAAAAAATTGCTATAAAAAATAGAATGAAAGGTGCACAAAGGTTTCATTTATGACGGTTTTTTTATTCTTATTAAAGCAAATTTTCAGTACAAAATTAAAATTTGTTTACTAAAAAAACTATTTTAAGAAG